GCCGGCATCCTCGGGGATTATATTTAATGAACTCTACTATCACTTTTCTGTCTGTTCCGTATCCTGCACTGAAAAAAAAGGTCCCATGCGGAACTAAAGAAGGCCAAAAAGGGTTTCGTACATGCTACGGAACTTAAAAATAGTTTCGTGTGCACTACGAAACTCAAAAAAAGGTTTCGAGATTTGCAACGAAATCCAAACCTTTTTGAAGGTTTCGTAGATTTTCTACGAAACCTTAAAAAAGATTTCTGGACTCTTGGCAAGTCTTTTGAGAGTGTCTTAGGTCCGTACGAAACCTTCAAAAAGGTTTAGATTTCGTTGCAAATTAAGTTCCGTACGGTACCTTTTTTTTCCGAGAGTGGTTTATACGTAAAAGTCAGAAAATGTATTGTATTATCAATTGCGTAATACAATAAAGGTCAATGTCAATAATGTGTTTTATTGACTTGAAGAACAGAAACAAGATAACAAGTTAGACGAAACAAAACGAATAAAAGAAATCATCTTTTCAGAAAAAGACATATATATATATTGAAATATATATAGTGATGACTCATTCTATGAAATCAAAGAATAGAAAGAAAACAAATGAAATAGAACAACAACAATGACTATTGTCAATACGTCACTGTCAACACTAAAAAGAAATAGTTACACATAGACGACAAGGTAGAGAATATGAAACTTCACTGTCATCTAAGTTTCAGATTCTTTTTAAGGTTTAGATAGAAAATCACAAAGAGAAACTAAAGCAAAACTAAAAATGCGAAAACCTCGGATTTAAATCCGAGTGTTATGTGCACTTCAACAAGTGAAGAGGTATATTCACCTTGTTTTTTATCAACTGAGACATATCTAGCCTATTTGCTTTCTGGATGCAGTTTTTGTGCATTTTGAGACATTTTTTAGGCGATGTTTTGTTAGAAAGCTACGATTTGGTTCAAAACTAATACCAGATTCGGAATCAGCATTAAAAACTGAGTCGATTTATATATGTTGTGAATAATTCTAAGTAAAATATTTTTTTTGAAAAAATCCCTGTACCCCCTCAGGGATGGTCCGCCAATAATGACAATTATTTCGATAACTCAGCCATTTCTTGACGGATCCTTCTCATCTTCGAACTCGACCGAGACATAGTTAAGACTGAACTGTGTAGAAAATTTCATCGCGATTGGACTCTCCTTTCAAAAGTTATCGTGTAAACGGCCGGACGGACAAACTGACCGATTCTAGAGTGTACTCACTTTTTGAGTACACAAAAACAGCTTTTGAATACATCATTTCTGGAAGTTTTATCATCTTTCAAACATCTAAATTTAATAAATGTTGTTTCTTTTTTATTTTGTTTTCAATATTTTTTCCACAGTTGACTTAAGTTTCTTTTTACTTTTGCGTAATTCTAGATCGGTAAATATTTTTAGGTTTACTATGCAATATGATAGTATTTTCCTAGAATATTTCATGACAAAAAACTCTATCCATCTAAATGATAAACGAGCGTTTTGTACCCGAGTGTGTCTATATGAAGTGTGTTTTAAATTTTCATATAAAAACTCTGCATTTCTGGGTAACATTTAACATTTAATCATTATGGTGCTGAAGTTATGTTTTATAACTCTTATACTGTGTTCATCCAATTATCCATTGAACGGCCAATACAATATGTATGATGACGATTGTTTGGATTATTACGTGAGCGAGAAAATCGGAGATCTGAATATAGGAATAGGAGTACCGGATCGAATAAAACATCAGATCGTTTCTTTTTGTCGACGTGATAATTTTCAAGAAGAAAATTTTACCATTGACAAGAATATTCCAGTATTATCGTTCTATGATATGTATCAACGTAACGTTAGTAGTGTTCAATTATATTTGTGGTCAGCTAATTTGGATGTCATTGAAGAATACGAAGCTTTTAGTCAAAATCCTAGCAATCGTCATATAAATGAATCATCATTGAAATTTTACAATTGTTCTTCGAAACATAAATTTGGTCGTTTTTGTCAATACTCCTTCGGTTTCCAGGTTTGTGTAAAAAATTGGAAGTATTTATCGATTAGAGAAAAAACATGAAACAGGATCCATTGTACTGTTGATTTTCTCATATATTCAACCTTTACACTTCATATTTTTAGCACTTCTCCTTAAAAAATGTTTGAAAAGGTTGCAGGTTGTCTTTGAAAACTCTAGCATAGGAGTATAGCAAAAATATTGAAATATTGTGGAAAAAATATTGAAAACAAAAAAAAAAGAAACAACATTTATTAAATTTAGATGTTTGAAAGATGATAAAACTTCCAGAAATGATGTATTCAAAAGATGTTTTTGTGTACTCAAAAAGTGAGTACAGAGTGATATCGATTGAATAACGACCTGCTGGCATTTACCGCAACTCATTAGGATTATGTTTGAGATGAATTTCCATAATTAATCAAATATTGGGAACTAATATCCATTTCAAAAAAGAAAACTGTGACTATTTTTTGAATACCTTTTGATAGAAACTAAGTAGAGAGGCGTGGTTTTCATCGTTTGAAAGAGGAGATGAAACTGCGTCGCAGTATCTATATTAGTTTTTCTTGAACACGTTTTCTCAGAGTCTACCATCAATTTTGTTAAACACAAAAGATTGTGTAACGCAAAAGTTTTATGATCTCAATTTTCAGAAGTGCACTAGCATCGTTAACCGAGGATTTATGCAGTCTGTAAGTTCTACGTTATAAGTTTTAGCCAATTCTGAGTTATGCACACATCACTTCATGGTATCAGTAGATTTTTCATCGGAAATTGACTGTTTTCTCATTTTTCAACGAAAAAATCTACCTCATAAACTTATAGAAAAGTCTAAATTTTTAGAAAAAAATTGGTGAAACACTGTGAAAAAACTTGTCAAAAAAAATCTGATATAGACTTCGACGCAGCTTCATCTTCTCTTTTAAACGGTGAAAACCACATTTTTCTACTTGGCTTCCATCAAAACTTTTTCAAAAAATACTCACACTTTTTCTTTTTTGAACTGAGTTTTTATTCTCAGTGAAGTACATATTAAATATTGGAAATTACTAATCAGTTTTGATAACTCATGGGAAATTACAGAAAATTGAGTTCATTTTTGTAGTTTTTGTTTATATACTATTGAGTTATAACTTCAGTTATTTATATGAATGTCAGATAAATCTTTGAAAATTTTTTAGGTGTGTGATAATACTTAGAGTTCTTGTCTTAGCAATCAGTCAGTCATAGCTGAACTTTCTCAAATAAAATCTGGTCCTGTATTACTAGTGACCGATTCAGGTCACTGAAATAGTGACAGTCAATTATTGAGTAAAATTGTCACCAATGCACCATGCCTCTGTAGACAAAATTTGATAAAAATGACATTATCTTTTTTTATATACACAGATACCATTCGATCATCTTGTTGAAAGCGTGTTAACAAAAACTCATGCTGCTCCATTCATGACAACTTGTTATGAACATTTGAATTGCACACGTGATGAAATCCCATGGTGTTTGGATTGGCGTGAGATATGTGATGGAAAAGTTGATTGTTGGCCTATTCCTGTTGATGAACATAATTGTGAGATGTTGGAGGATAATGAGTGTGGATCACATGAATATCGATGTTTTAATGGTCAATGTATTCCAGAGATATTTCTATCAGATGATATTGTTAGTCCAGATTGTATTGATCGATCGGATGAAGTTTTGCAACAATCAACATTATATCCAAGAAATTGCAATAAGGGTGATCCAGGAATGCGATGCACAGACATCACCTATCCACATTGGTCGCTAAGTGGTGCACTATGTTGCAATCCATCATGTGGCACAGGATCTTGTCGTACACATCTTGTTGAACAATATGAGCGTAGTCTATTATCATACGATGCTAATACCCATATCACAGAAAAATGTTGGGCTACTATGATTTGTTTAGTTCAAGCAACACAACGAGTTCTTTCTGTGAGTCTGTTAAAAACATTAACTTTTTTAATTTTTCGAAATTGTTTTTGCTTTAATCAATTTATTCTTTTTGTAAAAAATGAATCTTTTTTCATTCTCATTTTCAGGAAAATACAAGCTATGCACATTTATTCGACGGTGGTTGCAATAAGGTTTGTTCAGAGTCGCAACAATCATGCCGTGCAAAAATGGTGGAGTATTGCCCTCCTTTATTTGAATTTCCAGCAAAGTCTCTTGGATGGCATCATGCACATTTTGTGTATTCACGCAATCAAACAAGTTCAAATACAATGTCTCACATGCCAGATTACGTCTGTTATGACGAACAAGATTGCTCGATTTCTCAACCTATTATTTACTTCAGAAAATTAAGTCAACCATCTGTCGTTGTCGCTTGTGAACTTCCAAATGTCGAAATAATTAGGGGACGTTGGATTTCCCAAGTAGCATTCTTTCGACGACAAGTCATCCTGCAATGTCCATTAAAAACCTATAGAAAAGAAACTCGTTGTTCTGCACCTAATCAATTTCATTGTGGTAATAGATGTATCTCAAAACATCGCCTTGCCGATTGCTATACAGATTGTCTTGGTGAAACAGATGAAACATACAATCAAAGCTGTGCTCTGAATCATAAGCATCGTTTGACATGCTCATCTAACATAGCGGGAACACTCATTACAAAATGCATACCCAGTACAAATATATGGGGTGGAAAGCGGGATGATTGCCGATCAAATATAGAATTACCTCATTTTCCGACGTTATGCGATGGTTATATTGATTATAAGGAAAAGATTAACAGTGTTATGAATACAGATGAAATGAATTGTGAACGATGGCAATGTGATAATCAATATACACGCTGCGATGGAATATGGAATTGTCCCAATGGAACCGATGAGGCACGTTGCTTTCATCCTGTTTGTCGTGGAATAATTGGACATCCATGCTTGCTACGTAATACAACGGAGTTTATTTGTCTGCCTCTACAATATAGTAATGATGGAATTGTTCATTGTTACGGAGCAACGGATGAACTAAGTTTTTGTCAAAAACAGTTTGGTGAAGGAACCAATTTTCTTTGTTTAGCAAATAATGTCGATGATCAGGAGCTAGCTAATCAGTAAGTTAATTTTATGAATATATTTGTATAACTGACTTAAAGTATTCTTTTTCATTTCACACTATTAAACCAAGGGGTAATAATATTTTAGAACAAAGATCCCATGAAAACGTGAACGAATTGATTACATTCTAATATCATTAACCTATCTTCCTTCTTGAGATTAATCAATATTCTGAAGTTCATAATTATTATTTCAGTAATTCCCTATGATATATCGCAATGTATTTATTCGTTTCTAATCGCTCTCATATAGGGAAGGTCAGGATTACATGTAGTTTAAAAGTTAGTCGAAAGCAGAAATTTGCCAGCAGATAACGTAAGAAAGTTAGACAATACGTAAATTAGCTTATGAAAAGCAGAAAAGTAGTCAAAGAATAAAATAAGAGGCACTATTAAGCCCCCCCCCCCCCCCCTCAAAAAAGTCACATTTCGTCAGAATCATTGGAATTGAGATAAATCCATAGGAAGATAGCCTGTCATTTGCTCTTTCATAAACGATAAAAATTTTTCTTCAATACCTCTTTTGTTCCGAAAATTTTTCAAGATTTCTGACAACCCCTATTCGAAAAACCAGCGGTTTTTGAAAAAATCCAAAAATTTTTTTCTTTTTTTCTCAAAGTGGTAGTCGAGCGACGAATCACCACCAAAAGTCAATTATAATCCGATATAAAGTCAAATATTTTTTTTTGTTTGAAAGAGCATGTCAGGATGCAGTGCCTATGAGAGCCCCTTTTTTGATAAAGCTTTCTTATTATTATATTGAAAAGCGACTTTATAATATAAGCATCATTTTTTTGAGGGATTTTTGAATGCTTGAATTTGTGAACCCTTTTTTTCTTATTAAAGATAAGAATTTTAAAAAAAGGGCCCTCATAGGCACTGCATCCTGACATGCTCTTTCATAAGAAAAAACAATGAACCAAATTGAATGAACACCCATAGAGAATTTTTGGGGATGCGATAAGCTATTTTTCGACCCTTGTTTGATTCGTATCTAATTTATACATCAGGATAGGAGGCTGAAAATTTTACCACAGACGTACTTTTACAGCTCCAACATATAACCAAAGTTTCATGCCATCTCGATGTTCCGGAGCTGAGAGCGATTTTTGAGGGGGGGGGGGGGGTGA